AACCATTAAAGTGCGTAACTATACCCACTCTTTTTTTATCAATACTGTCATTCTAACAAAAGGAAATCACCCAAGTTATTAAAACCAATAGTTCAAACAGATGTATTCTCATTTCACTTACCGAAAATGATTGGCAAGATAATCAGGCAAATAAGAGAAGCCAAACTCACCAAAAGTGAGCAGCCCAATGCACGGAACCAAAGACCTGTAGATAAATATAAAGCAGTAACATGAGAATCATATATTCACAGCTCTTGTGGAAATGGATGCGAGAACAGAAGGAAGTAGACATGCAAACTGCTATTTCTCATATCAATGAAAAGACAAATGGGAAAAGATTAGATGAGCTTAGTACAAGGGAAACAGGTTACATGACAACTAAAATAGTGAACGAGAAAAAGACCTAAGGTACTGTTATTTTACTCTGAACAGCAATTTGAAAGACGAGTCAAAGATTTCTTTCATCAGCATTCTAATGAATTAGTAATTAGTACGTCATAAGCAGATCCTTTATATACTGAATGAAACGAGATGTATTTCTGTGTCGCAGATTAGCTCTGGTAAGAGTTCAACATGTGATGCTGAGTAATCAGGTTCATCAAAGAACAATACCCATAGATATACAAACATAATGCACTAGTATAAACATCACTTCAGAAGTTGAATGAGCTCAGAAAATAGACTTAAAGGGAATTAAAATTAACATGTGCCATGGTTAGTTGTAATGTAGGTTCAAATAACCAGCACATTATCCAAATGCTTAATGTAATGCTCAACACACTCATGCCACGAGCATGTGTGCAACACAGGGGTTATGTCTTTGTAAGGCTTCTAGATGTTCCTGTACTTATTTATACGTGGATCGAAGGTTAAGGTTTTAAAAATAACTGATCCATAAGCATAGAGTTGTTTTCCATCGTAACAACTGTACTTGCTTGAGTGGTTCTATCACTCCATGGAATTGACATTTATCGAGTATAGAGTTAATAAATCATTCCATTGATGTACTAAAAATAATTTTTCTTAAATAGATGAACTAAAATTCTAGCTATTGAAAACTATGCGGGCTGGCGTAAACTAGAAGTGCAACTAACAATAATTCCTTATCTACATAAGACAGCTTCAGAATTTCGCAACTTCTTGCCTTCAACTGAGCTATATCAGTACCTTCAATAGCATTTCAACTGAATAAAATGAAATGTATACAGAAGGCCAAATAAATTAATTATCTATTTTCTATTCAATCATATTCAGCAACCAAACAACGAACTATAACTATTTCATCTACAGCTAAAAAACATAGGAAAACGAGATGAATTAATTTTGCTAGTGGAGAAGCGAAAGAAAAAATAATATTTAGCACAAAATCATCAAAGAGATAAACAATTCAGTCAACTAACATCAAATAGCCGAATTAAACAATTTTCAAAAATCACCTAAACCCGAGAGCTGTGAATCATGATCATGATCGTGACCGTGATCGTCATAGGGACCGAAGCCGTACAATCTCATATCCTCCTCTTCGGCCAATTCCTCCGGTAGCTTCCGCTCGGTCAGCTCCTTTCCATTGTCGTGCTCGTGGTAATGATGATGATGATAATGGTCGGGCTTGTGACGGTGATGGCCGTGACCATGATCGCAGTGGTGATGGTGCCCGTGGCTCTCATGCGACATCGACGCACATAATCCGCTCCCGACGCACAGATCCAAAAACAGCCCTAAAGCCAACGCCAGCGACGACACCAATTTCTTCGAAGACATTATTTTTCTTTGTATAGGGAATTAAATTAGCAGTCAAAAAATCGGAACCAAATGGCCTTAAAAACCAAAGAGAAGATAACTTTAGAGGCTTAAGAGCTAGGTCCGTAGTGTCCCTAAGAAGAACGGCGTTTGCAGGTGCCTTCGACGGTGATGAAGCAAACAATGCCAAAAAAGATCACGATTGCTGCGATTATAATCCCGAAAGTTAATATATCCATTTCAGCAAATATGACAGTGGGAACTCGTATACTGAACTCAGCGAGTCAATGACTCAGCATACTTTCCATAATTCGTTCGCTTTCTTTTGTTCCTCTTTTTCGGATTTCTAGGAATCATAAAACATGAAAAATAAAAAAAATAAAAAAAAAAAAAGCGGATTCTTTAAGTACCAGCGGCAGTAGCAATAGCAGAGAGCCGCTACTTATCGAATAGATACGACGCTGGAAGAATGGGATTTTATCTCATGAGATCGCTTTCAAAGTGATATTGTTTTCTGCCCAATGAAAATCTGCCACCGAGTTAAACCCAAAAAAGATACAATTATTGCAAGTCGATGATATCTGGAGACTTATCTTGTACTTCTGCTATTTGACACGCTAGATTAAGAGGTCCCTGTACCACACTGCACCGTATCATATCTCTTTATTTATTAAATATTTTTTATTTTTATTTAGTCTCTTTTACTATTTTAAAATAATCAAAATACTCTAACGTATTATAATATTCTAATTGTAATTGACGTGTAAAGAATTTATTTTTTTAATATAACAAAAAATTAAAAAACATAAAGAAAAACTACTGATCCCTCCTCCATTCCTCCTCCCTCTTTTTCCTAAACTTCACTACTAAAAACTATCTCCGACCATTCAAACCTCATCATATCTAAGCTCAGTCTCTTCTGTCTCAGTCTTGGAGTTGACACAACCTGAAAGAAAAGATTAGTCCAAAATCTCCCTCAAGCAATGTTGGCTTCTTGGATATTGGACGAGAGAGAGAGAGAGAGAAAGAGGAAATATATTGGACGAGAGAGGAAGGCCATCGACGAGGTGAGAGAGAAGAGACGAAGCTAGGTATGGTGAGGTTCGAGTTGTCAAAGACAATTTCGGCAATGACATTTGGGAAGAGGTAGGAGAGTCCATGGTTCTTTCAATTTTTTTTTTTTAATTTTATGTTGTTAATTTTTTAATTTTTATTATATTAAAAATAGCTAAAATAAATAAATTTTTTATCCATCAAATATCAAATATATAAAATTAACCAACCGAAATATATATAGCATATTTAATCTAGGTCCAACATTGCATCTCTATCCTGTTGACAAACAGAAAACAAAATAATTTTTAAAAAAAAAAAAAAAAACACACAAGATGAAATGTTATAATAGAATAATTTAAAATGAAATCAGTCATGAGATTTCGCAGTATAAAATAATCTTTGTAATTCATTTCATTTGTACTTCTAAAAGACTCATTCTAATTATTCTTATAACAAAATTTGTTTGTCATCAAAAACAATTCCACGACACAAATTGGTTACACGAAATAGACCATCAACTCGAAGAAGCATAAAAAATTCCTCAAACGGCAGGCATATATCCATTATTCGAGAAGCATAGCAACTTTAAGATCCTCCTACATATGTTCCATATGGTTTTTTCAAACTTCCTACACCCAATGACATAGCATCACACTTACATATATACAAGGACATAGAAAACATCAAGCAAAAACTGACATATGGTCAGTCATCTATATCTACAACACTCCCAAGATTAGTTCCCCTTATCCCAAAAGACAAGCTTTTAAGTAGTTTAAAACTGTAATCTATTGCGTGTAGTCCCTTCAAAGCAAATAACATTCACATGCACCTTCTCTATGTCAGTCACCACTGTCAAAAAGTACCTTCTACCAACCCGCAACCATACATTAGTGTACAACCCCCCCTTCAATATTCACAAGACACTGCTGCTGCTGCTGCCGCCGCTGCTGCTTCAATTGAGTGTATAGTTGTCAAACGTGAAACTTTTACCGATAGCCTGTTGCATAATAATATAATTAAATTTCCCAGAAAGAAGGATACTAACATGACATGACATACAAAGAAATATAACCCCGAATGGCTAAATCTACTGTTTTTCGACCATGTCTATATATACTTATAGAAAAAGCAATATATTTGAAAGACCTTTCTGATCTCCAGCTTGTGCTTGCTAATTGGTTCCATTATAAAGGGTAAAACTCCAGATATAGAAAGCTAACAACAAGACTAGTACCATAAAGGGGAAGACATAAAGTACCAGTTGCTATTAGGAGTTCAACCCTGTGGAGGAGAACCTGGCTCTGAACCGCAGATTGATGTATATGAGGAGACAGTGTCCTCCTTTGATATGGCCACAAAGTTCAGAGGTGCAGTAGATAACCTCCTCATTTCCTTGAAATACCCATTTTGACGCCCAGAATAGGACCGCGGAGTTAGCAGCTCAGGAGTTGCACCACCCACTGAGTTGCGACGAGGTGTCGGAGTCATGGACCCGTTTCCATTTACACGGTATCCATTTGACTTCGTAAAGCTGTTGTTTGTTATTGGACTAGGCCGGGATCCATACATGGCTTCCCTCTCTGTGAGGAGAAGATCTTGCAGCTTCTTTTGGTCCTGCAAAATCAGAAAGCAAAATGTAGGACTTGTTATTTACAGAGAAAGGTGATACAAATGTACAATTCAAGTTTAGCAGTGGAATTTGGGAAAACTAGTGTATCCCAACCTGATATTTTGGTAAATTGAAGATTTCATAGACTTGCACCTGGGAAATCTCAACCTATTTATGTTCCAATTGCACTGGGATCAACCCACCCCAACGAATGACTAACGAACCTACGTCTCATTATTATATATAATATTTTCATGCTACCATACAATTCATCAATATAGTGCATTTCTATCTACTGGTCAATGTAATCAAACCAAAATAGATTAAAAAAAAAAAAACTATATAATAACACAAGAAGTACTCCTTTAACATGTTAGACCGCCTAACTCATCTCTATTCGACCCAAAGTCTTCCATGTCAATTTTTCAGTTTAACCCAAAGTCTCCCATGTCAAGTTTTCAGTTCTGACAACACAAGTGACCCTATTGGGATTGTATTGAGAAAATTACATTATAAGTCAAGGTCGTTTTGAAGTCTAACTCAACCAAATGCAATCTGCTATACTTCTAATTCAACTACCAATTAAAACTGAAAGAATTATATTTCACCACCAGATTATCTTGCAGGCAAGTACTGTAACATTGAAAGCAATGCAGAACAAAGACTAATAGCTAAAATTAGCAATTTGCAAAACCAACTTGCCTTCAAGTCACGAATTGCCAGAATATTAGACACATAACATCAAAATCTTAGAAAGAAGGAAAAATGAAAACAATAGGTCAATTACCCTGTATCTCTTCTTCTCCTCTTCCTTTTGTTGCCTGGTCAGTTTGTAATCCTCCAGGATAGACACTAACCTAACCTGCAAAAGATATGAGCCAAACAAATTTATAACAAACTTACAAGTATTATTTAATTAAAGATCAAGTGCCTGACGTCACAGAAATCATGTTCAGAAAACTCATGCAAGCAAAAAACACTAACCCCATCATACAAAAATGACTTCTTCCTTTCATCTTCCCATGCTAGTGTTCTGCTTATCAGATTGTCAACCATAGCTGCAAAGGGAACTATTTAGCACTGAAAAGAAGTTGATCTCAGGCAAATTAAAGGCATCAATATAGACACTTTTACCAGGAATCTTGCTTATAGTTATTCGAGCACGTTCTGCACGTTTAAGATTAATATGGGCACCTCTCCCAGCATTGTAGCGGTTCTCATCCTAGAATCCAGAGAGAAATTTCAAGACAGAGGAAAGCTAGATGTTCTACTAATATGAACATGCACCCAGTTGCTACTAAGTAGATTCTCAAGGAACTAGAGATCTTTTATAATATAATCCTGACTTCTAATAGCATATATAACACGAAGATCCTAACTTACTTGATTATAATCCTCCAACCAGCTTTCCTCTTCACAGGCAGAAAGCCATTTGTCTATCCTATCCATTATTTCTTTGCGACTCAATGCCTCATCTTTAACCTTGATTATCTGTGCTTCAATATTTGCAAGAAGTTCGGAGGGATCCACTAGTCCTAAAATATACAACATTATCTTGTTTTGCCAAGTATATCCCACTAAATACAATTATTACTTCAAAAGAAAAAAAGAAACAAGATGGACAGAACTGATGGCAGGAAATAGATATCGTACCAGAATCAATCATAGCACTTGATTTCTCTGCAGAGGTGCTTGTATCGGGTTCAATGTGGGTCATTCTGCATATTTCCTCCAACTCGGACCTCTTTTTCATGACAAGTTCTTTCATTCTGCTTGCTTTTAGTTTTGCGAGACTCTCCACTTCTGCTGATGCCTATCAGTTGGTAAAAGAAACTGAGAATCTAACCCGGCAATTGCTACAAACATATTAGAGCATTTTCAGACTGTTCTATGTCTCCATTGAAAGAACACCTTGATCTGTAATTTCAGATTCTGATAATCTAAAAATAGAAGTAATTCTGGAAAATCTATTCTTCTCTTCTTGTGGTGAGTCCATCAAATTCCAAAGTTCAAAGAGTGATGCCACAGTGTCTCTCAGCTGCACATCATAGCATAGTGAGAACAGCAGAAGGAATCATCCAAAACAAACAATAATAGCACACTTCTGAACTCGAACTTTTCTTTCTGTTTTCAATTTGATGATAGCCTGTTCTAGACCCTCTAGAGTGCTATCGCTGATATTTGTAGATTGCTCCTGATTCATCCGATGCAAGCTCGGATGAACATCACTCACAGTCTGCCCAAAATCCAAAGCAAGCACACCACAAAGAGCATGTACCTCATTCACACACTCCAAAACCTTACTAAGACGTTCTGACTGCAAAAGGAAACAAATACGATTAAACATCAAAGACACTCCACCAAGAAGAGAGGAAGGAAATATTCACATCTGCCCAAAGCATGTGGGGGCAAGAATATTCTATCCAGACAGACATGTAATATCTGCAGTCCTCTGCTACTCCTTTTGTGCAGAAGACCTCACTCTCCTAATATGTATAAGAAAATAAAACCAACATGTTTTGTGAATCACATCCATAACATCTTTTATTATGGTCACTAATTAATCAATCTATGTACAATTAGGACAAAGTTTTAATAACAGATTGACTTCGCCAAAAAAAAAAAAAGAAAAAAGGAAAGCAAATATCACTCATAATAAATCCACACCTTCTCCTTCTGAAGACTATGAAGATATGTTTGATATTCAGCAAGTTTCCTTAGTGATAAGTCCTGTTCTTCAAGGGTTAATGAAATGATCATAGTATTGCTAAGATGGTTGTATCCAGAAATTTCCCCACTTATCTTTTCAATTTGTGCCTTTATATCCGCAAATTGTTTCATTCTTTCGTCTTTCTTCATCCTCAGATCTTCTACCATAGGTGTGACAACTGCAAGTTTTTCTTTCAGTGATGTCGACCTCTTCTCTGTTTGAATCTGTATATCAAATGGCAAGAATAAACTATGAGAATATGATACCTTATAAAGATATGCCCCTGACCCCCAGCATTAAATGGCAATAATTTTGAGAGAAGAGGCAACACGATAATTATCTTAGCCAAAATTGCAACACAATTAAGCATATCTAGCAAATGTTTACATGTAAAACTCATTGGATAACAATGCTTGTACACACTTAGTTCACTATGAGAAAATGAAAGTCACAACAGGCTTCTCTTCTCTCTCTGAAGTACTCCCCATCTACCAAAATTAACAATACCAAAAATTTCTAACAAGACTCGATATATCTCATATAGCTTGACTTAAATCAGAAACACTGCTCAACATGCCATTTTAAACACTTCACCTCCTGGATAATTAGGGATGACACGACCGAAACTTAACAAGTAATTTCTCTATCCAATGAAGGAATAGTCAGTTATCTTTGACAATACTCACTATGCCTCCTACACCTTAAGATAATCTTTGTGCCCAAAAACACGAAGTCCGCAGGGCTGAATAATCTGTTTTTGTAAATGTTCATGAAAAAAATTACATGTGATAAGCATATTTATTCAGTGAACAAGTGCATTCAATAAACTGAGTGATAAAGACTTTAGTTACAGATTATAATTAAGTGCTTGATTAGATCGGTATACATGAAGGATGATTTACAAAAACATCATAGTTATCCAAGCAATACATTTCTCCTAAAAA